TAGTTTTTGTCATGTCACTTTATTCAATTATTTGTGATGATCTGCAGGTGTCCCTATACTTTTGTCCAGGTAGTGTTTAATATCAATTAATAAAGAGACGTGCAGTAAATAATACTATCAAGTATATCCCTCATCACTATTATAAAAACCATTTATCTGACCTTCAAGAAATACTCAAAAATCCAAACCTACGATCAGTTTGGGTTGCCACAAATAGTGAAAATAATGATGCAGCCTTTTGGTCTAAGGTATCTCAACTTGGTTTAAGTGGAGCATTTGATAGGGAACATACTTTTGTTGAACTTATAAATTTAATAGTAAAAATAAATGAAAAAAAATCACAAAATAAAAAATTAAATGGATTACGATACTCTCAACATTTAGTTCATTTTTTCAGTTTATTATCAGAAAGTTCCAGAGAATATGAAATTTTTAAAAAAGCATTTTCTGGTCTTTCAATACAAAGAATAAGGTAGATTTCTTATTTTCTTATTAAATTGAATAAATAAATTGATTGATTGATTAATTGACTGATTTATAATTAATCTTAATAGACAAATTCGCAAAACAGATTCTAGTGTAGTTACCAACCCTGATTTGATATTAGACAATTTTATGAAGTTTGCAGAACTTGTCTCAAGTATTAATTGGAATGGACCCATTATAGTAATGACAGATTCAACTAAACTATGAAAAAAACTTGTATATTCTGAGGATCTTAACTATATAACTGGATCAACCTTGCCACATGATGAAACAACAATTTCTTCAATTGATGATATACATCCAAAAATAAATTATATTTTACAAAATGATGCAGTTGCTACATAAGTTCGTGCTATTGCATTAAAGGTTAGTAATTTTAGATTTAAAATCAATTATTCAATAAATTAAAAAAATGCAATTGTTTTTGTATTTTAGGTTCCTATTGGTAAAATTCCACCAATGATAGTAGCAATGTTGCCAACAAAAGGTGATGAATCTGCTGATCAAATTTCAAATTTGTTACGTGAATTGAATTAGCAAATGTTGCAAATTTAAATATATTAAGTTTTGGATCAGATGGAGCTAAATCTGAATTCAATGCACAATTAATCATTATGAATGAAGCATCTGGTTTTCTTGAATATAAAGATGCTTTCTATAATATAAATTTCAAAGCTCCAATTTATGAAGGTAAACCATTTATTAGAGTCCAAGACCCCAAACATGCCAAAAAAACTGCAAGACTTTTATCACTCGGAATAAGCACAATGCATTATGATCAGCTTTTTGAATTGGCACATTGATCACAACATTTCCTTTTAAAACGTGATGTTTTGAATGTAGACAAACAAGATGATAATGCAGCCTTACGCACCTTTCATTCAAATAATTTAATGCAAATTCCAGTTAATGGCAACTTAACTGAAGAATCTATTGGACTTTTTGTATATCTTTTTGTGTTAGGTAATTACTTTTATATATATATTGTCACTTAAAAGTTTTATGTACTTACATATATTAGTATATATTTATTTTAGGTGAATTATGTGATGCCTATCTAAATAGAACTATTGATCACAAAACACGTATTGAAATGGTATTGCGTGCTTATTTTTTTCTAAATACATGGAAGAATTATGTTGAATGTTGTAGCATTCATTATTCAAAGAAATGGTATAGTTTACAGAAAAGCTTTATCTCAATCCAAAGTTATGATATTTTTATTAGCATGGCAGAGTCTTTAATTATGCTTATTATTGCACATCATGAATATTACTCTCTGTTTCCCTTGTTTCCATGGGAACATGGAACTGAGGGATTGGAACATATTTTTGGAATTTCTAGAAGAATACTTCCCTGATTTTAATTTTAATGAGTTTTTTAAAATACAACAAAGGGTTTCATATCGTGATAAAATTGCTTGAGCAGGAATAATAGATACCAGTAGAGATTGTAATTCGGCAGCAGGTAAATAATGATTTATTTTCTATTTTTATAAAAAAATATTATTCACTCTTTATTTTATTAACTCCATTTTCTTAGGCTATGTTTTTGACATAGATGGCACTTCATTACCTCATGAAACAATTGAAATACTTCGCACTTGGCCTACTACTGATGATATCAAAGAATCTACTGTAATTGCATTTAATGAAGCCATGTTCTTAGCAAACTACCTTCATATAAAGCATAATGAATACACAATCCCACCAATTATTACATCCACAGAAAATATGAATAATGCTTTTTCAGAAGATAATGGAGATCAATATTGTGAAATAAATGGTAATTTATTATATTCCAATATTAATTATTTATTATATTCAAAATTTTAATCTTTTATAATATTTTATTATGTAGACTCTTCCAATGAATTAAATTTAGAATCTATATCACTAACTGGTAATGCAGCTTTGGAAGTAGCTCGCTTATTATCAAGTGCAAATAACAATCAATTGCATGAAGATGAAGTTTTGGAAGATGAAGTTTTGGAAGATGAATATGAAGATGAATTACAACCATTACCATCTGGAGACTTCCCTGATATTCAATACATTCAGAATTCTCAAGTTGTTCCTGTTGCATTTCAACCATTTCAATTATTCATTGCAAATAATGTTTTAGATATTACAGCTATTTTAGAAATTCGTAAAAGTCATGATGCATTTTCTCATAATCTTCAATCTAATTTTATTAATTCACAACAAATAATAAATACAAATAATAGTGCTACAAATGGGAACACTTTTAATAGAATTATTACAGAAATAACAGCAAACAATGTTGATGAAGTTCAAAGAAGACAACGTCGGGATCGATGGGAAGGTAGAAGGCGTTTAGAAACAATATCTAATAATTTACCAGGTAATAGAAATCAGTGTTTTTTAACTTATGAGTAATATAATAAAATTGATTAAAATTTTTGTTTTGTTAGTAACAAACATTGGGTTTGCAAATATTTCTGATATTCATCCACTTTGCAAGAATGGATTTTTTTTTTATTTGTGTATTCCAATAAAATCTTGTGTTTGGGTAAAGTAATCACATTTTATGAGAAATGTGGGCAACGACATGCATTGGTAGAAAAGCCAGCAGGATTTTTAGATCATTTATCATATATTTCTATTAAAGTTTATCTTCCAGTATCACAACGGTATTTTTCATGTGAAAATTTTGCAGGAGACATTACACCACGAGAAGTAGTTTATTTTTTGGGAATACATTCTTTACTCTAATATTAATGACATTAATCCTTGTTTGATTGCAGTAGATGATGAAACATTTTTAATTTATAATCATTTTAGTATGTCAAGTACACAAAACTTCCTTTAATTAATAAAGATAAATTTCATATGTCCTTGGCTGATTTCGATTCGCATTATTAATAATTTTTTAAATGTGTTCGGAAAATTGATTCGCATAATTATAAAAAAAACTAAGATTCGCATTAATATGATTTGCCATTTAATTTGGCGGTCACATACTATAGAGTTTTCCCGGTCCTGTTGAAACGAGGGTTCGACTGTATTGCAATACAATAATGTATATTTATGACTATTAAAAATTACATTATTTTAATATGCATATTTGTCAAAAAAAAAAAAAAATTCCAAAGATAAATAATATTACTATTAAATATAATTCCATTTCTCAAGATATTTAATATCGCAACTATAGTAGCCAGATAAATAAATAACAAATAATTTAATTGTAATAAAATGGCAAGATTTAACTCATTCAGGTAAGTCATCTGTAAAGCTCCTCACAAGCTGGCTTGCGAGTTGGCTCATGCAGAGCCTTAGTCATCTGGTATAGCCAATTCAATTTGTTTAGAATCTACAAAATATTTATCAAAGAGTGGATATTAATATATTTTGTGATACATATTTGTGGCTGAAAAAAAAAATTTTTTTTGACATTATACAAAAACCACAATGGAAAATACTTTGGATGGAAATAAACACCATGATGATACTTCTACTGACAAAAATGATGAATATTCAAAGGAAAGGGATGAAAAATATGGGAAATGTTCAACTTGCAATAGATATAATACTGATTATTCATGGTGTCAATCATGTGATTCAAAGCTATTAACTGAAGGATGGACTAGTGGGAATGAAACATTAGACGAGTTGATTAAAAGTACATTTAAAGCAACATATTATCATTATAGTAATCATCTTCAATGGATTCCTTATAATAATTTAACAAATATTGAAAAGATAGGTGAAGGTAGGTTTGGAACTATATCTAAAGCTACTTGGTTAAAGGGTTATAAAAAAGCAAATCATAATAATAAAAGAACTAGTGAAGATAGGACTGTGGCATTAAAAAAATTACATAATTCACAGAATATTTCTGATGAATTTCTTAATGAGGTAAATTATTTTTTTTTATTTATTTTCAGATTTTTTAAATATTATTCTGAAATTCAATATATTTTTTTAGTTCAGAAATTATGTTACATTTTATGGTAAATATTTTTTAAATAAAATTTATGGATTAACACAAGATCTGGCTACAAAAGAATACATCATTGTAATGAAATACATGGAAGATGGAAGTCTTCAAGATCACAAAGATCAATATTCAAAGGAAAGGGATGAAAAGTATGGGGAATGTCCAACATGCAATAGATATAATACTGATTATTCATGGTGTCAATCATGTGATCCAAAACTATTAACCAAAGGATGGACTAGTGGCAATGAAACATTAGATGAGTTGATTAAAAGTACACAACTTAAAGCAACTAAATATCATTATAGTAATCATCTTCAATGGATTCCTTATAATGATTTAACAAATATTGAAAAAATGGGAGAAAGTGGTTTTGCAACTATATCCAAAGCTACTTGGTTGAATGGTTATAAAAGTATAAATTATTATAACTATGAAAGGATTAGCAAGGATATGCCTGTGGCATTAAAAAAACTACATAATTCACAGAATATTTCTGATGAATTTCATAATGAGGTAAATTATTTTATTTCTTTGTTTATTTTCAGATTTTTTAAATATTATTGATTATTATTGTTGTAATTAACTATTTTATTTGTTATTTAGCTCAAAAATTATACAAAGTTTCATGATAAAGTTTATATTTATGGATTAACGCAAGATCCAATCACAAAAGAATATATCTCTGTAATGCATTACATGGAAGATGGAAGTCTTCAAAATGATGAATATTCTGACAAAAGAATAATATTATTCGGGGAATGTTCAACATGCAATAGATATAATACTGGTTATTCATGGTGTCAATCATGTGATCCAAAGCTATTAACTGAAGGATGGACTAGTGGCAATGAAACATTAGATGAGTTGATTAAAAGTACACAACTTAAAGCAACTCGATATGACAATAATTTGTATCTTCAATGGATTCCTTATAATGATTTAACAAATATTGAAAAGACTGGTGAAGGTGGTTTTGCAACTATATCCAAAGCTACTTGGTTGAATGGTAGTAAATATATAAGTCATGAAGAAAGAACTAGTGAAGATAGGATTGTGGCATTAAAAAAACTACATAATTCACAGAATATTTCTGATGAATTTCTTAATGAGGTAAATTATTTTTATTTTTCTATTTATTTATTTATTTATTTTCAGTTTTTCTAAATATTATTCTAGAAATTCAATATATTTTTTTTATATAGTTTAGAAATTATATTACATTTTATGGTAAATCATTTATAAATAAAGTTTATGGATTAACACAAGAACCAGCTACAAAAGAATATATCTTTGTAATGGAATACATGAAAGATAGAAGTCTTCAAGGTTATGAAGATCCATATATTAGAAAAGAAGAATATGAGAAATGTCCAACATGCAATAGATATAATACTGATTATTCATGGTGTCAATCATGTGATCCAAAACTATTAACCGAAGGATGGACTAGTGGCAATGAAGCATTAGATGAGTTGATTAAAAGTACACAACTTAAAGCAACTAAATATCATTATAGTAATCATCTTCAATGGATTCCTTATAATGATTTAACAAATATTGAAAAAATGGGAGAAAGTGGTTTTGCAACTATATCCAAAGCTACTTGGTTGAATGGTTATAAAAGTATAAATTATTATAACTATGAAAGGATTAGCAAGGATATGCCTGTGGCATTAAAAAAACTACATAATTCACAGAATATTTCTGATGAATTTCATAATGAGGTAAATTATTTTATTTCTTTGTTTATTTTCAGATTTTTTAAATATTATTGATTATTATTGTTGTAATTAACTATTTTATTTGTTATTTAGCTCAAAAATTATACAAAGTTTCATGATAAAGTTTATATTTATGGATTAACACAAGATCCAATCACAAAAGAATATATCTCTGTAATGCATTACATGGAGGATGGAAGTCTTCAAAATGATGAATATTCTGATAAAAGAATAATATTATTTGGGGAATGTCCAACATGCAATAGATATAACACTCAATGGGCATGGTGTCAATCATGCGATCCAAAATTATTAACTGAAGGATGGACTAGTGGCAATGAAACATTAGATGAGTTGATTAAAAGTACACAGCTTAAAGCAACCAAGTATGGTAATTGGAATTATCTTCAATGGATTCCTTATAATGATTTAGCAAATATTGAAAAGATGGGTGAAGGTGGGTTTGCAACTATATCCAAAGCTACTTGGTTAAATGGTAATAAATATACTGATAGAAATAAAAGAACTAGCAAAGATATGCCTGTGGCATTAAAAAAACTACATAATTCACAGAATATTTCTGATGAATTTCTTAATGAGGTAAATTATTTTACTTTTCTATTTATTTTCAGATTTCTTAAATATTATTATTGTTGTTATAATTAAATATTTTATTTATTATTTAGTTCAAAAATTATATGAAGTTTCATAATAAAATAAAAATAATTCATATTTATGGATTAACACAAGATCCAATTACAAAAGAATATATATTTGTAATGACATATATGGAAGGTGGAAGTCTTCAAAATTATTTAACAAAAGATTTTAAAAATTTAAAATGGAAAGACAAATTTAGAATTCTTTATTATATTATTAGTGGTTTAAAAGATCTTCATGAAAAAGAAATTATTCATCATGATCTTCATAGTGGTAATATTCTTCAAGAAAATATGAATTCATTGATTGCAGATTTAGGATTATCATTCCCGGCTAGTCAAAAATCATCATCAAACAAAAATGATATATGTGGAGTATTACCATATATTGCACCAGAAGTTTTAAAAGAGAAACCATATACAATGGCATCAGATGTATACAGTTTTGGAGTTCTGATGTCTGTAGTATCAACTGGCCAACAACCATTTAATAATTTGGCACATGATGAATATCTTGCAATGGAAATATGTAAAGGTGCAAGACCTGGATTCTCAAACAATACACCAAAATTCTATATTGAACTAGCATTCAAATGCATGGATGCTAATCCAGATAAACGTCCAATTGCTAAAGAAATTTATGATATTATTAATTTTTGGTTTAATTCATGTGATATGAATAGGATGATGAAAAATTTTGATTTTTATGAATATTCAGAAGAAGGGCTAGATGAATTAAAATCAATTAGAAAAGAGGTTAAGAAAATGGATGAAATAAAATTTGATCCTTCAACAATTACTGCAGTAATTCATCCAAATGCAGTTTATACTAGCAGATTATTAAATTTTATAAATCTTCCCCAACCTGTGAATTCCAATAAAGTAACAATTATTGGTAATAATAATGGTAATTATTAACATTCAATTATTGATTATTTTCATTTTATTAAAATTAACAAACAATATTCACTCTTGTGATAAATATTTTGTAGATTCTAAACAAATTGATTTAGCTATACCAGATGACTTACCTGAATAAATTAAATCTTATCACTGGTTATGTATTAAATTATTTATTTATTTTTATTTATCTGACTACTATAGTTTAAATATCTTGAAAATGATATTATATAATAACTTTTTTGAATTTTTTTTTCATTTTGAAATTCAGATGTCAACTATGCATACTAAATAAAAAATAATGATTTTTGACAAAAAAATAAATATATATAATTTTTAATAATCATTGTTATCATACATACATAACTGCAGAATTGTTTGTTTCAAATCAATGATTTCATTTTTTCATAGCATTAACAAGTTGAAGCAATGTACTTATCAATACATCATATATAATATATAAATAATTTTATTAATATATCAAAATTTATCTGAATAATTCAAATATAATAAACATTATCAAATAAAAAAAGCCCATATCTAATCATTTTAACTTGCTTGTTGAACCACTATTGCAATCAACTTCCAGAAGAGGTTCCCCATCCTCCAGATTTGGTTGTCCTAAATGATTCTTTCCTCCAAAAATATGCAACAGACACAAACTACAGTAGATTGATTGTGGGTTTTGTTGAGCCAAACAATGCCAAACTCCTGATCTTATTTGGAAACCCTGATCTGAAAGCTTTGACGGTTCCCCCAATAGGAAGGGACACTATGAGTACATTAAAAAATACCACTTTCAATAGATAGCTAGGTCCTGCTTGTGTTGGTACTAGCACATTGATGCTGAAAAAAGAAGAAACTTTCAAAATTAGAACCAGATACTGGCCACCAGAAATGTGAACTGTGAGAAACATTCATCAAAACCACAACCTTGTCATCGAATTTCAGAAAGAAATAAGTGTGTAGGGCCTTTCTCAGATCTTCTACAACTTGATGATGACCAAAGACAAATGGGCTTACTTGCATAAAGTGGCAACACCATGCCAAGAAATCACCTATTGCACATCTACCTGCACTACTGAAATATGCTGAAACAAGTTGTGAAAGGACCCTGAGATGGTGAATTAGGGCATTTCTTCAAACATGACAATTTTCAAAATCATGGAATGATCCACATGGACAGCTTTACCTACATGAAAAAAAAGAAAAATCTCACTTAATCCAATCCATGCAGACATTCCATCATGGAAAAAACATTGTATAATTTGGTCATAAAGTATCAGATTACACCATTGTAACCATCTAGATTTTAATTGTCTATGCATAATTTTGAAAATAATGGCACATGACTTGAAATTTATTTACAAAATTAACAAGAAAATTATTTTATTTTAATTCAAAATGATTTATAAAAATATTGTCAGAGCACTTGCATGGGAGGAAAATACTCAGACCCAAAGCCATTTGTAAGTATTACCTATTCTTTGGGCACTGACAAAAATTCAACTTTTCATTATTACTACTGCTATTTATTATTATCAATAATAATATCATTAATATTTATATCATCATTGTTTTTATTATATTTTTCATCACCGAGTGATGAAAATATAATAAAAACTAGGGGTTGGCACTGTTAACCGGTTAACCGCAATTAAACAGTTAACCAGTTAAGATATTTTTTTAATTGGTTAACCATCATTTAATATTAATTTTTTTTTATATAATTATTATTACAGTCAAACCTCACCAGTGGATTTCTTGTTACAACGGATTTTTGATAGGGGTCTTTCTACTATGTACTAGTCTCATCACAGCAGATTCACACAACATATAAATTTATGAAATTTGACCAAATTACCAAAATTGATAATATAGTTGGAGGAAAACTGGATTCTCTCTTTGGAAAATGAAATACCTAATAATGAAATTGAAAATTCAAGAAATATAGTTGAAGAGAGAAAAAATGATGTTAATAATTTAATCAATCAGTTATCATTTGCCCTTAATTAGAAACAGAAGAATATATTACCATTGATGATTTTCAAATAAATAATGAAATGGTGACAGAAGAAGAAATAATTGCCTTCTTCAATCCAGAAGAAATTGTTGAGAGTAACACTATGCCTAAAGTTTCAACGAAAGGTGCTGTAATTGCCATTGAGACAGCTTTTAATTTTCTTCAACACGGTGATTTAGGAATAGATTATAAAGAATTTCAAGCATTTAAACCATTGGAAAAAGTGAAATTATTAAATAATGAAAAAACCAATACAACCAAATATTACATGTTATTTTGTATATATTTCAACAATTTCCGCATTAAAAAGTTTTTGCCGATCGTCATCAATTTTGCTACAGTGCAGGACACCTAATCCCGCAACTTACTGCGCCACGACGACGAATTTTGGGAAAAAATTTCCAATCAAAAATGCAATAAAAATTGTTTTGTCATGTGATA